CCAGAGGTGAGGAACAACTTTTTGTTTTTTAATAGCGAGCGCAGGAGGGCTTTAACACAGCAGCCAGCAGCTCAGGCAAGGCAGCCAAGGCTACAGCAGCCCTCAGCACCCAAACCGCCGCGCTGCCCAAAGCGAGGGGCTCTTCCCAGCGCCGAGGGCAGGCAGCCCTTGTCAGGCCGGGGCTAAGCCGAGGTCTGGCCGTTCTCGTGCAGCCTTTCCCCTCGGGGACGCAGGGGAGAGAGAAGCCGCTGCGGGGAGAGGCGGCGCGCACCGCCCGCGCAGGGCGCTGAGGGAGAGCGGCGCCTCCCGGCACGGCGTCGGCTCAGGTAAGGCCCCCGCAGGCCTCGCCCCGCCCGCGGACCGCAGCGACGCTTCGGGAGACGCCGCGGCTCCGCGCGGCAGGACGAGAGCGCGGCCCGCTCGCCGCCAGGCACGGCGGAGGCGTACCTGAGAGAGCTCGCGCCGTACGGCACGGCCCCGGCAGCGCCAGGAAGCGCTCCGCCCGCCGCCACAGCGCCGCCATGCTGTACGGCAAACGGCTTCCGCGCCCGGCCAGGACCCCTGCGAGGCGGCCGCGCGGCGCCTGAGCGGAGGGCGGCGGCGGCGCCTGGCGGGTGAGCGCTGCCGAGCGCCGGGGGGCGGGGGCGCGCGGCGCTGAGGAGGGGCGGCCGCTGCGGAGCGGAGGTTGTGGCGCAGCCCGGCGGCGGGGAGGTCGGGCGGCGTTAAAAACCCAACTCGTGGGAAGGGGCAGAAACGGCACCGCTTTTGTCGATCGAGTTCTCGTCAGCTCGAACGCAGCGGAGGTTTCAGAGATGGCCCTTCGGGGAAGGGGGACGCGCTGCCCGAACCGCTGGGCGATGCCGGGATTCCCTCTGTTCGGCGTTCTGAGAGCGCGCATCCCTGCCCACAGCCGCGCGGAGGGCCGCTCACAGCCGCACAGGTGCGGGGCGGCGCCGAGTTCCTCCCGCGGGGCGGCTCTGCGGGCGGCCTGAGGTGAAAGGCGGCATCGATCAAAGCCGTGCCCGGGGAGGGAGGCCCGGCTCCTGGCCGTGCTGCTTATGGCGAGAAATGGCCCCGCGGCCGCGTCGACTTGAGAGGAAAAGCCGTCCCGTCCTCTCAGGGATTGGCAGCCCGGGAAGCGGGCACAGCACGCAGCCGCAGTGTGGAGCACGCTGGCTCCTCCAGTAGGCTGCGGCTGCACGAGGGACACTGTCCGACACAACAGCGGTGGGAAGAGCCGATAGTGCCACTGCAGAGCTGTAGGTGACGCAGAGCTCGAGCGCACTCGGATCGCTTTGCTCTTCAGGTCAGTCCGTGTGAAGCTGTTCCTGCTGTTCAGCTCGGCCGCTGCCCGAAGCGGCTGGGCGGAGTTGAGCACGTGCACATCACACAGCACTGGGTTCAGATGCGTAAAATCAAGGGTAGAACCGAATCGCCCCAAACACAAAACGAGTTTTTATGAAGAAATGTTCCTGCAGCTTTATCTTATCTTCCCAGTAAAAGAAGGCCTTAGATGCAGCAGAGCTTTTCTCTTTTTTTAATAATTGCTACCTATAAGCAGCAACGTCAGAGGAAAGTTAGGACAGAAATGCTGATCAGTTTTGAGTGCTGCCTCTGAAGTGTTGAAGGAAAGGATCGTGGCCAAACGCTCTGTATAACAGCCACATCATACACTAGTATTCCTGGTTGCTTTCATTGTTTTAGAGCTCAGAATCTCCATGAACCACAGCATACACAGCGGTGGTGAGATTCTAGCTTCTTTCAGATGTTTATCTCTTCCCAAGCACATTATCTCATTTCTAACTTGAATGTGAGTCAGCTGCTGCCACTTGGCATCCATAAGTCATCTAGGAAACAGAACTATCCATAGCTGCTGCTTGCTGCTGACAGAATGCAACACAGGCCCTCTAGCTGTATCTCACAGATCACGATAAAGCATTGTGGATTTCCACAAGCAGAGACTTCCCGACCAGGAAAGTACAAAGTTTGCATATTGTTGCTCTGTTCTTGCATGTTCTCACAAGTTTGATCATTAAAGGGTTTAAAAGTTTTTTTGTTTTTTTTTTTGTTTTTTTTTTTGTTTTTTTTTTGTTTTTTTTTAAATCCTTCTTAAAAGATTGCTACCATTGTTATACTGACTTTTATCATTGCAGGGAGCAATGTTTAACATCATAAATTAATTTCGTACATTAGAACCATACAGTCATGGAATATCCAGAGTTGGGTGAGGTTTCCAATGGGATGTTTATTCAGTGTAACAGATCAAAGGAAACAATACTATGATGTGTGTCATAAATGTATATAAGTCCATGCAACAGTAATGTAAGTTTTGTTAGGCATGAATTGTTTCCGTTAATGGGCAGACTTCCAGCTTTTGAATTTATTTTGAGGAAAGCTTGGACTTCTCTACTTCTCTATTTTTCTTCATAAGAAGTAATTTTTGTTACACTTACCCATGGTTTATTTAAATTCTTCCTCATGAAGAGGAAGTGGTGACATGGAGACAACCAGGACAGAGCACCTAACTAACACTGTAGAAATGTGGACTTCTCAAATGCATCATTTTGTCTTTCATCTTTCTCTGGGATGGTTTCGTTTATGCTTAATGTTCCCACATTAGGGGTGAGGAAAGAAGGTGAGAGGCTGCAGGTGCCATCTTTGAAAGTCACTGCATTGTTTCATTTCTGGTGGGTAGGGTAGAAAATGATTTGTATCTGAGGCTGCATTTTGTGGTATGAACTGATTAATCGTTTAGGGTAGTGTCAGTGAATTGTACTGGATCACTGTTTGAACTAAGAGGCTTCCACAGCAAGGTGGAACTTTCTGGTTTCTTTCCATCTCTTGGGATTGCCTTTACCCTATTTTTTTCCTTGTTATCCTCTCCTGGTTTGTGATGCGATGTCCTTATTGTTGGTGAGGAAGAAGGAGGGAAAGGAAAGCACATGGAAGCACGTGGAAGAAAGGCATGCACATGGTTAAAGACTAGTACAAATGGTGGCATGGTCCCTGGCAGTTGAGAGAACCACATGGCAGAGCTACAAAAAAGGCACACCACATGGGAGCAGGGGAGGGGCAGTTAGCTGTCCCTAGGCTTTGCCCAAAGCAAGGTGGAAACTTCACAAACCAAACTGCTAAGTAAATGGAAAATACACTTATGTGGGATTTGTGCTGACAAGTGAGGACACGTGTTTGAAAACACAGATCTTGGGAGAGCAACAAAAGTATATTTACTGCATTTATGACACGTCTTACTTGAGCTGTGTGGCAAGAATTTTGCAATATTACTTTTAGCTGGATCTTAGTTTGCGTAGTTCCTGACATGAGGAATCCATGGTTGTTTCCTTAAAATCATTGATACATACTAAGTATCCCCCAAAGGGCATCTTGTCACAAACAACACATCTGTCAGCTTACAGTGTTTCCTCTTTTGGAAACAATTGTGCATAAACCAATAAAACAGGTTTAACATTTCAGCTTTGTTGCTATTTTACCTTTTTGTTTTCTTTTTCTTTTATTTCAGATTATTTAGAGTAGGACTCATTGTTCAGAGGTTCATCTATGCCATTTTCTTCCTTAACCCCATAGAAACTTACATGCATGGTTTGTCCTATACAACTAATTCACTGCAAGTGACAAAAATGAAACAAAAACAATTAAAAAAAAGAACAAAACACAAGACAGCAGGATGAGGTATAATTTTAAGTTCTTGACTTTGTTCAAATCGTTTCAGAGTGTTGTACAAAAAAAAAAGTACAAGGAGAAAATACAGAATTATGGTAGACTAACAGAGCTCTGAAATTTTCACAAGGAGTTCTAAAGCTGGTGAAAGCAAGAAGCTTTTTCAGTCTGTGATAACTTTAAGATGCAGAATAGTCTAACTACTTGTATTATCTGTTACATTCTAGACTATAACTTTTCTGGCCATCTTTCTTCTCTGTTAGTTGTTTCTTATTTTACATTTCTCCAGGCAGTTTCCTGATTCATAAATGAACAGTGCTTCCTTTCTCAAAATTCCTCTTTTGCATGTTTCTCAGCAAGATAAATTAATCTGACTGTGGAAAACAGCAAATGCACATAAAAGCAAATCCCTCCTGCTATTCTGAAAATGCAAGCTCAAAAGAATTTTCTTCCGCTCAGTGTTTCACATGATCTTTGGGGCTTGTGATGTGCTAACTCTCCTGTCTTCTTTTGTCGCAGCTTTCAAAAAAATCTTTGGCCAGGGTTATTAGAAGAAGGGAATGCCATTTGTTGCTGTGCCAGGCATGGATTTACTGGGAAAGCTTTAGTCCGTGCTTTGCACAGTGGGGATAACTCTGCCACAGTGCATCATGTGATTGCAACCACATAGCCTCCCTTAGAGGCAGTGAGGTGTGTTGCAAGTCCAGTCAAGTTTGTGGAGACAGGTCTGAGCTCAACTCTGCCAGCCCTCTGAGCAAGTCTCTCTGAGCTAGCCAGTTACTTACCTGTTGTGTTCACGTGTTGCTGCACGTTTGCTCCACCCATGCTCCTAGCCTAAAGAATATTATTCAGCTCAAAGCTAAAAGTGCTTTAGAAGTGTTGCCATGGGACACTACTCAGTCTGGTGAATTTTGGCACTAATTTATGCTGTGAAGCAGAATATGGGCTGGTGCCACTCACCAGTTCACAACTAGCTAGAGTTATTTTAAAGACATCTCCAAAAAAAGCTGTATGGTTACTGGGCCAGGTCAGCACACAGAATAAATTTTACTGTTTTAAGCTCTTTTCTCCACCAGCCCAACAGTAAAAGAAATTCTCAGTGATAATGAACTGTGGGTGGCATCATGGATTTTGCAGAGACAACCTGTCGTGTTTTTCATGCTAGCTTTGGCTGGACTGGAAACTACTGTTGGTGGAGCTATAGAGCTCTATTTTTTCATTCTTTGTTCTGCTTGATGTCTGGATTATAAGAAAATATCTGTTGAGCTAGAGCTCTGTTATATGCGGAAGGGATGCTTCTAAGTTATTCTGTATTGATACCAGGTGCTGTGCTATTTTGCAGGGTCTTAACTATGTTCTGTTTAGGGTTACTGAAAACACCTTGATCCTCACTTATTTCTTAGCTGTGGAAATGTTTATTCACTTCATCCACTTCCCATTATTCTGTCGTCATGCTCTGGACTATAATATATTGATTACCCTTCCTTCCGTAACAGCTGTTAAGCAATTTGCTGTGTGTATCGCCCCTCCCCTTCAGCAGCGCTCTGTATTTAACCCACGTGCTTGGGTCTTGTTTCTACAACTCCTGCACTGGCCATACATGCCACGTCCCAGCTGAAAAAAGAATTATGTCCCGTGGGCCAAATTCATTCCTGGAGTTGCTTGATTAAACGCAGCACATTTACACTGGGCGCAGATTTGGCTCATACCTGACTCTGTCAGCATTGGCTGTGCTGTAACTAAGTAACAAGAGCACTGTCATCGAGAACAGACGGATAGCTTTCTCTGAGATTATTAGAGCACTGAGCACCTTTAAGGAGTGCAGAAATCTGTGAAAGGAGGAGTTGGGAAAAAGGACACCGCTCCTTTTAGAGTCTGTGTAACAGAGCCGATAAGCTATTCCCCTGATGTGATTGAATGTGACTGAATACTGCGGGCTCGTGGACTCTTATTCTATAAAGCACCCATCAGAACAGCACAGGAAAAGATTGGAGGGAACAGCTTCTGCTGTACTGAGAAAGGTACATATTTATATTTTTCTGTTTCTCAGACTTGGCATGATTTGTTATGTTAGATAATACCACTGTTTTAAACTGTGCTGAATATGAAAGAAGCAGCATTTTCCACGTTTTGACTGGCATTCGTTGTCAGGCAGCTAGCTTTCTCAGGGAGAGAGTAGGACATATTTGTGTGTAATGCATTTCTACTGCATTTCTACTGCATTGCAAACCTCGACAGCTGAAAGCAAGGAGATGAGATAACCCCACCTAAATTGGAAAAGTAATTTATGGATGTAAGTTTGCTAGAATTTGCTACACATCTGTACTCGGGAAAAAGCTGAATGCAAGTCAAACTTCAGTTTGTTAATAATTTACTATGAATAGCTGCTTTTATAAATGTGGCGCTCAGCTGTATTTTATGCAGTTTTCATTTTCAATCAGGAATTGTGTTTCAGCAAAATGTCTATGAAGAAGTGTAACAACAAAAGCTAGTACTTCTGCTTGCTAGCCCTGTTGCTGCTTATAGAGTTTCTCTCTGCTGTCCTTTAAGGGCACCCACCCCTTACCTTCTGTTCTTTAAAAAACAAACTCATACTTACTCACACTACTAGCTGCATGTCAGATTGGTGATCTTTACAAACAGCTGTAACAATTTCTGCACAAAAGCTTACTGCTTACTCAGCCATGGACTCCTCTAACAAAGCCCTCAGCTCAGATTCAAAATCTCCTGCATTTGCACAGCATTGCAGTATTTAAGTGCCGAGGAAAAATTAACTGATGTTCAGCTTTAGTTTGCTAAAGAGCTTAACCACATTAACACTGCAAAAAATCTACTTGTCACTGGAGTTGAACAGTACTTCTTAGCAGCCTGGAGTTGGTATTGTGTTTATCTCTGCCAGTCCCACACTTACAGCATTCCTTCAGGATCGCTGGAATTAGAACCGATGAGGAATTTTCTGAAAAAACATAATTTTGGCAGGGGTCGTTGAAACCAAAACTTACTGTGTGAGGCCATCCATACCAGTTTTGATAAGACTTTCAGGAGAGATTTCTCAAAAAGCAATTTCTAGCTAAAACATGAAAAACTCTACCTCCACTCCAGCTATTTTTTTGGGGAGGGCATTCCCCCAGGATTTGAAGCAGGCTCTTCTTTTCACACAGCGCTTTGGTTACCTGCTGTGCTGTGGCAGATCCCACCTTGCCTGGCCTGCTAGAGCAGTTTATGTTCATAGAGATAAACCTTCAGTTCAGCAGCAATTTCCTTCATATTCTTTCAGACTCCTCAGTGAGCATCTTTGCTACCACGTTTCCATTGTTCGCTCTCTATGGCCCAAAGAGCAGCTTGCGCAGAGCAGAAAGCTGTGCTGGGACAGACAGGTTTGCTGTAGATCAGCATGTAGCCTTGGAAGCAGGTCAGGACCACACAGTGGAGATTTGGGATACTAGGAGTTCAGCCATTGATTTTTGTAACTCTCTCAAGAGTACAATATTGGTCTGTTACATCTGCCCCCCAATTAATCTTGGGGCAAAAGTTTGGTCGTTTCTCCTTCAGCCTTTTCTCTTCTACCATTTTTAAGGTAGAATCATTCAAAAGAAGCTTGTTTCATCCCCTGGGGAACATGAAAACCTCAGCTGGAAAACTTTTTCCAGGCCAGGTCATGGTGTGCTGACAGGGCAGAACACTTTGAACTTTATAGGAGTTCTCTGCCTCCCAGGTGGGATTTGTGCTGTTAGGCTAAGCTGTCCTAATCAGCTGACTTCAAGCACTGGTGCAAGTAGTACAAAAAAATCTAGACTTCTAGAGTGAGGGAGCACAAAAAAAGTGCTTCCTAGGAGTACCTGAAAGGGTCTCAATCCTGAAAAGTGCTGTTCTTAAAGAACTCTCTTTCTCCAGGTTTGGTTTTAATCATGCACAGTGTTTATTAGGCCAGTCTGAATCACAGCTCAGCAGATCCACGTGGGCCAGCCTGCTGCATGGAGATGTCAGTCTATGAGGCCAGCTTATTGTAAACCCCATGGGGGCACACAACCATTATATAAACCCTTCCCTTTGGGTGGCAGTACTGATTACCACTCAGACTATAGTTACTGCAAAGGAACTTTTAAGTGCATAGCAATTATCCTAATTGAAATCTATGGAGAATGGAGTTAAACACCCTTATGAAGCTTAGTTGTTGAGGCTCCTTGGTAGGCAATAAGTACTTTTCTGTTCTTTTCCTTTTGTTCAGCTTAAGGAAACTTGTATTTGCTTTCTTTCAACCTAAGAAGGAGGAAAATGAAGATGAAAGGTCTGGGGAAAAGAAAGTCAGAAGTTTGCATTTATAGAAGTCTGATTTTTTTTGTAGTCGTGGCAGCTAAAATGCAGTAGTTTGAAAAAGCCTAAGAACAGAGGAAATTTGGGTTTCATGCAAGTGAAAATTATATAAAATTTGTTCAGCTTGCTTTTATGATGTCAGTGGAAAATGTGAATGTCTGATGCCCAGACTGAGTTTCCATTGAAGCAAAGCTATTTGCATTTGGCATATTGTGATTATTCTTCACAGTGTTGCACTCAACTGAGAACAAGTAAACAATAATGAATAAGAGGTAAAAAGATTAATATTTTTTTTCTTTTTAGAAGATCTAAAATATGAAGCTGTTCAATTATTTTCCCTACAGCAACAGAACACAATATGCCTGGCAGAAGTTAGTTTAAACTTTCTGATCAAAATACTCTGCCCTTCATGCTCTGGAAAAAGATCAAGAAAAGCAAAACGTCACAAAACAGAGATTGCCTCAGTCAAGAGAGCTTGGACAGAGAGTCAGGAATTCTGTCTGGGTTGTGGCACAGCACACATCTCCTCTGCCTACTGCAGGGAAGCAGACGTTCTTCCAAATGTGCATAGAAATGTGCCAACTCTTCTGCACTGCTTTCTCAAGTGCTTCTTAAACAGCTAATACAGCCTCACTAATAGGCAAATCCTCTGCTACTTTATTGCATGCACCTGAATGCATAATTTCAGCACAAGCTTTTAAAAGGTTTGAATTTAAACATCCTGAAAAATGTTTTCAACCCTTTTCTAAAGGTAGGGTGTACAATACCTCCTTCACACAGGTGTGCGTAGGAGGGCTTAATCTTAAGTGATATGGCCTTTATAGAACACCTCTAGAAAATTGTTGGTTATTGCAGACTTAGCAGCGGCATCTCTGCAAGTAGTTCAGGCCTCACTGTCCCCAGGCACTCCACTATTGTAATCCATTTCTATTACCATCAACACTGATGGAGATCAGACTCACGGAGAGATTCTTTTGTGGAAAAAAAGTGAAAGGGTATAAATCTATCAAGCACTCCCCATTCACCAGGTTGTGTGAGCTAATCAAGTCTAAATTAGATTCTAAACCCTTTAGCATCAGAATGTTAAAGTACTGTCTGGGTTCTTGGAGATTCGTAATAAACTCTTGAACAACCAACTAGTCTTTGGCAGTTAGATCAAATGCATGAAAAATTAAGGCAATGTTGAATGTAACATCATCTTTCCTCAGAGGCCTAATGAGTAAGCAGGCTGAAATCACTTATGCAAAGTATACGAAGCAGTCTTTGTTTCTACATTTTTACTGTTTTTCATAAAGTCAAGACTAGTAATTTCATATAGGTGTTGGCTATCTCAGTATCCCAGGATGGATCCATCTGGCTAACACAGGTAGGATCACTTTGTTCTTCCATAGCAAGGACTTTTCTGATAAAAATTAATTCAGCTTCACAATACTTCCAGTAATGTTAACTTTCTTATGGCAGCAGAGGTAAGACAACTCACACAAGGTCAGATTAGATAACTATTGCCAAAAATATACTCAAACCTAAATCCTCTGACTCGGGGCCACAAAGTTTACTCTCATTACAGTGCTGGAGAATGGTTGTCTAATGTCTTTGTAGAAAAGATTTTTATGATTACTGAAAGACCTTTACTAGATCCCTAAGTTTGAGCCAGCCTCCTGAGGATTGTTTTATAGCCACTGGAATGACTTTGCTACATTATTATAGGCAGCTAAGTTGGAATAGCAAATTCTCATATTTTCCGTAGGTTTCTTTATTTCGAAGTGTATTTTTTAATTTCTGTAATATAAAATAGAGGTACTCCCATTTGAATGATGATAGTTTGATTACAGTTGGCAGGGAAAACTACTGAACCACTTGATTGAGTTGTGATTTGGTCTCATGAAGCCAACGGAATGAGTAAAAGTAGATGCTTAAGAAAACAATCCACTGCCTTGAAAGGCTTGCCAGCAGTTGGATGGGTTTGGGCATGAAATTTTAATATTCTTCCTTTTAAACTTTGTCTTTTAAACTCTGTGAAAATAGATTTAAACTCAGTGAAAATCTGTTATTCATCTCTTTCCATGATGTTATCCATTCAGTTTTCTGTTTATTTATATGTATTACCTACTATTTTCCACTTCAGATTTTAGTTTTTAAAGAACTGGATCACATTATCAGAGTGTTTCTAATGCACAGAAGAGACTGCAGTGCTAACTTTGTATATGGAACCTCATTAAATCATAATATGGAAGTGAAGGGACAGGTTTTTACCTTCAAGCATGTCCTTTTAGTGAAGTTATTAAACCAAGTGATCTCAGTTGCTCCTAATACATCTTGGCCTCTAGACCCTTCCCTATCTTCGTAGCTCTATCCTTCCTGAGCAGCAGTTCTATCCGGAAGGGGCTGCTCAGCAGAACTGCAAGTGCATAAAAGATAAAAAGAAAACTTGACATCCAGACCTTTGTGATCCTTTAAGACAAAGAACCAGGTTCGTGTTAGCTAGGAAGCAAAACTCCAAGCCTGAGAAGGAGGACGTTTGTGTGCTAATGGTGCTGGTGAGCCCTGAAAGGAAGCATCTCAAGTCAGTCTTTGCAAGGAAAGCATTGTATAGGAAAGCTTTAGTATTGGTGACTATTTGAAATAAATACTTTCGGCTGCTCCAAATTATGCTCACAGTGCAACTAAGATAAGTAAATGGGTGAACAAACATCAGCTGTATTGTATGTAGAGCACATCTCCATAGCAACTCAGTCAGCTTCTGAACTCAAAATGCATTCTGCACAATGACTCCAAATGTAATGCAGTGGTATGGATTTTCCCGTGTGTAATGTGTGTGTGCTGCATCCCACTGCAGAGCAGAGTTCTGACCACCGTAACATTTAGGACTTTTGTGAGACAATTCTAGGGGAAGTGAGAACAAGTATATTGCAGTCTTTAGTTTGGCAGCCTTTGAAAGGCTAAATCGATACTTGAAGAATGCTTACTTACCAGATCCTTTGTTCTGTGGCTCCTGCATGGAAATAAACGTAACTTTCTTTATGCTGGCTTGTCTGAAATCCATCAATAAACGGCTTTGAGGGGATTTGCTGCTTGAGCTGTACAGGGTGACATGAATCCCATCTGCTGAGCTTTATGTTCAGATGTCCTGAACTCACAAACAGAAACTCACACACACCGCCCATGCTGTGCACACACAGGCACTTGCAGCTGGCAGTGAATTTCAGGGGAAGAACAGGCACAGTGCCATCAGGTAGTTTCAGCTGGTCCATCAGATTAATAGAATATGCCCTTTTGTTACATCTCTTGAATTTCATGAACCTAGACTCTTCTCTGATTCATGGATTTAGCTTTACATTTTTATAACCAGTGAGAAAGCATCTCTGCTATTAAAAAAATATACGTAGATATCTTTTTTTCCCCCTCAAAAGTGTCAGATTGATGGTTCATGTCAAAAGTTTCCTGAGTAAGAAAGGCTACCATCTCCTGTGAACCACCCCTCCTGGCCCCCTCTGCTGCAGACTCTAAAGGGAGGGAAGCAGATGAATTCCTTCCAGCTCAGGTTCTCTGCAGAGCTTGCAAGGAGGGCAGGTGCTAGCAAGGAGGTCTGAATGCCCATTAAAAACTTGTCCTGGGAACTGATTTCATACAGAATAACACCTGTGTCCAGTGTCTGCTGATCTTTGGCTAAGAGTGAAAAGTTTCATATTTTCTTATTAAAACTCAGAAGTTTCCCAGTGTTCAGAAATCAGTAAAATGAGATCACGTGCAGAAGCTAATTAAGATTTTAAATCCTTTAAAAACCAGTTAGAACAGATTCAATGCAGAGAGGCTCCTCATGCAGCGGCATGCTTGGAGCCAGCACTGAGCAGCTGTGTGGGGGAAGGGAGCAGAGCATTAAATAAAGCTACTTGTTGACTGCATGTAAAGTAGGCTTCTAAAGGGAGCGCCACAGAGCGCCATCAATTACAAGTGACAGAGAGGGATTTCCAGCAACACAGTACAATATCGTATAATATCATAATTATACCGTGTGTGCTGCTGTTTAACATGGTAGGTTGTGCGTGGTTTGTGTTAACATTTACCAGGAATTACAGCTCTCTCATGGACCACCTTAACTCTGGGTTTTTGTTTTTTTTTCTTCTTTCTTTCCAGATGCTGGAGAGCTCTTCAGTCCTTTTGTTCATTGTCTTCGTTCTGCTTTTCATTTCGTTGCTCTGCGTGGTACTCATCAGGAAAAATGGCACTGCTGCCCTGATCTGGCATGAAATAATCAAGGAGAAAATAACCAATTTCATCATGAATCAGAGCAAAGAACGGAGGATTTTAAATTTTGTGTTGCAGAATGCAGTCCGAGGAGACCCCTGTAGTGTGATGGAAACTATAGATAAATACTGCTCTGAGAAAGAGTGGGCCATGAATGTGGGTGATGTAAAAGGTAATGGAAGCAGGGATCAGCACTTGAAGGATCCTTCAAGACTAACAGAACACAGGACATCTTTCTGAATTCTCATGGTCATTTCTCTCTGCTGCAAAAAAAATCCCACCACAGCTTCGTGGTCAGCAGAGTAGTTCTGTAAACATTAATGCATGTTTGTGCAAACATCTTAGAGGAGGAGGATCTAGTTTGTAATCCAGCAAGTCATAGAATCAAAATGTAGTGTGGGGTGCAAGTGTGTAAAAAGAGGGTGACGAGAGATGGAAGAAATCTAGAATTATGTTGTGTCTTAGGTAGCACAAGGGTGTCCCTGAAGCATAATTACATTGAGTCCTTTCAGATCCTTAACTGAAAGCTACTGAGTCTGAAAGAAAAAAAAAAAGGAAAAAAAAAGTGGCAAGTATTTTAAACTTTTAAAGAGTTTTGCATCTGCAAGCATAAATATAAGTTAATGTTGAAGGGAGAGGTCCTAGCCATGTAATACACAAAAGCAGCTATCAGATGTTATTGCTATTGAGCAAGTAAGTCTCATTCTTGTCTCCTGCGGGAAACTATGTGGACAAAAGATTTCTTTTTCTTAGCTGCAGGAAAATTACAGTCTATTCCAAAAAACTGTGATGGCAAAACGTTTCATGTTCACTTGTGAACTAGACACAAAAGTACCTCTTACTAGGAAACTGCAGTGAAAATTTGCTCAATCTGGGATTAATATAACTAATGGAGTACAACTGTCAGCGCTGTAATAGAAATGCTTCTCTGTAATTTTGTGAAACTAGCTCCTTTGCATACCAGGTAGTGTGGTTATGGCAACAGAACAGTGGGCAGTGGCTGAGTAGGAATTCTCAGAAATATGAATTTAGACTATTTGGGATTATGTTCTTAAACATTTCACTCTAGTTTTGCTCTGAGAAAATGGCTTCTCTATCAGAGCCATCAAAGTTACTGTATCTTCAGTTCTGAAGATTTTCAGAATGACCACATGATTTCAGAATGCAAGTATTAACACCACACTATTCATAAACAAATTACACCTAAGAAAAAATCAAGTAATTAAACGTATACACCCATTCAGGCAGTCTGTGGCTCAGACTAAAATCCCTCCAGAATTTTTTGATGATTATCTATCTTGATTATATTTTATGATTAGCTATCTAGTTTCTAGCCATATAAGAGGTGAGTTTTTAAAAATAAATTTGGTTTTTCAGAAGGACTGCATATGCAGTAGCAGTACACTGTCACTTCTTGAGAATTTTTTTTTTAGTTAACAATTGACTGTTTTCCATCCCACAAATTCATGTAGTGAATTCAAATATCTTGCAACTGATGGCAAGGCTTTTATTTTTCCGTTTAAAGACAATTATTTAGACTCAGATGTTTTGTATCAGGCTACTACTTGTAACATTTGCAACAAATACACTCAGAAGTCAGAATTTATATTTCAAATATCTCCAACAAGGTCTGGAAAAACACGCTACATTTTTCCCTTGTAACACTAAAAATACTTCAGTTAAATCAGGTAATTCCTCACTCAAAAACACATGAAACTAAGATTTTTTTAGTTGAAAGTTTGCATTTTGAATCTTCAAATGTCCATTTTGTCAGAAGTTAACCTGTTTCCATTTTTTTCAGGTGTAATTCTGGACAAGACAGTGGAAGAGATCAATCCTAAAGTTGCACTGGAGCTGGGAACATACTGTGGCTACTCAGCTGTTAGGATTGCTCGGCTGCTGAAAGCAGGTGCTCGTCTTCTCACTGTGGAGTTCAACCCAGAATTTGCTGCTATAGCTAAACAGATGATTGAGTTTGCTGGAGTACAAGATAAGGTACATGCCATTTGTCCATAGGAAGCAATATATGGAGAGTGGGGCTTTATCCACAAAAATAACATCAATGGGTTTAAATTTGTTATTCCATTTGAGAAGAAAGTACAAGTCCATAAGCAAAGTTCATAGTGACTATAAGAACACAGGCCTGGAAAGAGGCTCCTAAGTCCATTATTTCATTTTTTATAGTCACAAGGCATCAGCACCACACATAGTCCTTATCATAAAATTATCAACCACTGTTGCAAAACTGGCAAGATTTACTGTCATTACTGAAAACTAGACTGCTCCTCTGGATAATCAGGAACTTTTCTACAATTTATATCCCACATTTATTCATAGACATTTTGTTTTCCTTTACTGTTATATCAACAGCTCCTAAATTTAGCTCCTAAATTCAGTTCTGTGCCTGATCTCTCTCAGAAGTACAACCAAGGACTTCAGAATATTACCTCTAAAAAGCTAGATTACTGGTTTTCTGTATAAAAATATGAGGTTCAGCATCAAGAGAACTAAACCATAGCCAATTCTTTTACAGAAGTTCACAGAAAAGATTTCATTATGAACATACTTCAGATAAGATAAGTTTACCAAATAAAATTGGTCACAGTATATATACAGATGCACCTAAAGTTTGCATAGTGTGAGATATCTCAACCCTATATGGTTGGCTGAGATGCAGGTATTTCCAGTCTATAATCCGTCTCAGCCCCAGGCAGATATTTACAGCAGATCACAGGATGCACACCCAAGAAGTGTCACTCTATCGACCAGCCAGCCAACTTCAACAGAGATGATAAAACTATTGGAAATAAATCCCACCTTGAAGATGAGATCTTCCGAGGTGTTTCTTAACTTCTTGATGAGAGCCTGAAATAATAGTGACATCTAAAATTGCATTTCCCTCCATCTGATTTAATCATCTGATGAACTATGAGTCATAAACCAGACAGATTTCCTTACAACTTTTTTCCTTCCACTTACAGAATATGGCACTTAACAGATCAGTGTGCAGCAATTTCTTTCAGCTTAACAGTATTTATGCCAATAAACCAGTAAGGGAGGTATAATAAGCTCTGTCCTTCCTCCTTTCCTGGCCATATCAATTTTCTATATGGTAGCTTCTAGATGTATTCTAAAGAATAGTATTCTTTTCATTTTCTGCTCCACTTTGAACTTCATAATTCAACTGAAATGCAACTAAAAAAAGTAATGGAAGTATTGTTTTCAACAGAAGATTCCCATGTTCCCACTGAAGAATCACATTAACAAAAACAACAGGTCACTTTTTTTTTTTTTTTTTTAACAATACAGAAGAAAAATATTTTGGAACATGAGTAAATTTAAGTGTAAAAAAAAAAGTCCACATGACCCAACTCTAGCAAATAATGATAGAAGCTTTATTCTGAGCCTCGATCTGAGGTTATATTGAACTACAAGCAGGATCATTGATGTCTGGCCACTATTTAAAATGAGCTAGAGGCGTGTTCTTAATGGTTTGTAATTCATCAGATGGATTTGCATTTCAGGTAAAACTCCTAGAAGGCCCTTCAGAGGTAATTATCCCCCAGCTGAAAAAAAAATATGAAGTGGATACTCTGGATTTTGTCTTTGTGGACCACTGGAAAGACAGATATGCACCAGACACCATCCTGCTTCAGGTCAGTTTGCACAATTCCAGTATTAAAAGTAAAGTACCAAATGCCTAAATGTCTATAAGGCCTATATTCTAAATGAAGTACTTCTCCTCTGTAAAACAAAGAATGACAGTCAAAATAGCAACTGTATAAAAGAAGAGATTTTGGGGGACAGGATCCTAAACTTTTATCTGGAACAACATCTGGTGTAACACAGCTCAGAACAACCTGCCAAATACTGTTGAGTCATTTTATTTCACAAAAAATGGGTCTTCATTAGAAATCCCAACTGGAGGAGTGTGGGGACTGGGTCCTGCACTCTGGAAGGAATATCTTCATGGTCACTAAATGAAACACATGATCCAAAAACATCCCAGTCATGGGAGCAGGTAAGACTCAGGACCTGCATATTGCTGCTCTACTTTTACTTCTCCTGTGTCCTCAGTACACCTTTTTCTGCTTGGAATTATGGTGCCAGCAGGACTTTCTGATGAAATACTATTTTGTTAGCACAGCTGGGTTATCATCTTCCAGCCTTTTTTACACCTTATTATTTGATTTTACAGCAACCTTGAGAAAAACAGTAGACCACTCCAGAAAAGCAGTTGCCAGGAAAGTTCTGCCAAACTTTATCTGCAGCCCTAAATGAGGAAAAATTTTCTTAATTTCTTTCCAACATCCCATAGCCATTAGCGTTACAACAAGTTGTAACAGCAGTAGGAATTGATAGGTAACAGTGGAAGTGAGGTAACTACATACTAGAGTACTTATGGAAAGATGTTTTCAAGTGCTAAACTGAGATTCACATTTGTATTTATCAACACAGCATACACAGACTCCCCTAGCTTTGGCACTGCAGACTGATAAAACTTTCTAGAATTGCTTCGTTGGATGGAAGTACCATTTTTCAGTTATTTTCTTCACAAACTTTTTTTTTTTTTGAAGCTGCCTCTTACATTGAGAACCCACCATCTTCCTTTCTGATCCCTGCTTAAGGCTTACAGAAATATTTTCTCACCCAGGCTCTCCTGTTTATAGATTTCATTCCTGTTTTCCTGATAGCTGTTCAAAAAGGAAATTTGGTGGTATGAACAGCCAGTATTGAATTTACCAGGAGCTGAAGAAATTGTTTCTCTCTTCAGTTATTTTGAATCCAGAGAATGTTTTCTTTTAAACAGGCTGTGTAATGATAACCAAGGTCTTTCCACTGGGAAGAGATAGCTGCACCCTTATCAGAGCTTAACCTCCATAACATGACCAGGCAGCTCACTTCCAAATTTGCAAGATAATTACGTCTTTGGAAATTTGTCAGTGATCTTCCTTGTGCACTAATCCTGCTTCACACCCAGCTCCTGAATAAAGCAGCAGAAAGCTGTACAAGGTGAAAGGAAAGCAAGCTCAGAACATCTCACTTATTCTGGTAGTGTATTTGGAGTTTTACTAGGACAAGCCAATGCAGACTGGTACTTGCCAATCTCTCAGATGACCTTGAGAGCCACTACAACATTTTAATGCCATATTAAAAAAAGGTATCAAACTTTAGGCATGAAAGCCAAAACAAAACCCTCTTAATTAATCATGTACCGGTGTTTGAAAACAATACAAGCAGCAGACTGCACTCCTCCACTGCACTTGATTTGTTATCTCAGAACCCACATGTCCCAACTTTATCAACATCTCTATAATGTTCCACCAATTGTGTTAGCAGAAGTAAATCAGAATGCTAAGTGTGACAACAAAGGACTGAGCTCTGGCTAGAGAGTTGTTCAGCTTCTCCTATGTCTTTTCTTCCTCCCTTCCAAATCAGTGGATTTTTTATGCATGCACTTTAACATGGCACAGTTAATACAGAAGCAAATTGCGTTCAAGACAACGTCAGCTTAACAGCCACCATGAAGGAATTTCTCTTCTTTTTAGGAATGCAGCTTGCTGAGGAAGGGCTCAGTTCTTCTGGCTGACAATATCATCTTCCCAGGAGCTCCTGAATTTGTTAAATATATCCGCAACAACCCCCGTTTCCAATGCAGTACCTACCTATCTCATCTGGAATATATGAAAGTGCAGGATGCTATGGAAAAGGCTGTGTTTTTGGGATAAAGACAGCCATTAATATTCAATCTTTGTTTCTAATGACATAAATGTAACTACAGAGGTGAATTTGACTGTGCTTTATATTTTGCTGTTTGTATTTTGGAGCTCATCATCTAGTGGGAATTGTTTTTTACCAGGTGGAAACCAAGATTCGGAGTAAGTAGGGCATCCACTTAAAGGGCCATTCCACTGCTTCACCTTATTCAGCAAACCCAAGGTGAACAACATATTGTCAAACAATACAGTCTGTTATTTTGAGCTCAAACATGAACAACCACAGTTAGTAAGGTTGGAGTAACATGGAAAAAGTCACTCAATTTCTAAGAACTTATGTTCTAAAGCTAAACTGTCTTACCCTTCTCAAGCGTGACAAAAACATCCATGTTGCAAGAGAAGAACTCCTCAGAAACCCCAGTTAGCTAAATTATTATCGTGCCACTTCCACCAGTGAAAGTTCCTGTAATAATGTCAGATGCATTTTTGCATGGCTGAGAATGTTAATTATCTCCATGCTGTAGAAAAGGGCACATACTGAAAGAAGAAAAAGCTACACAGCGATGGGAAAGTGTAACAGAATTATGCATAAGACAAAGAAAAAAAATATTGCATCTGCACATGTGGAGATAATTGGAGAAGTGAGCAGATTAAAATAAACACAACACAACAAAAAACAGGTTCTAACAGAATATCAAAATGACAAAATCACTGAGATCTTGAGAAAATACTACTCATCTCGTCGTTACATTTACTCATTCCTTTATTATATTCTATATATGTTGTGTGTGCATTTGAGAGGCAAGGCAAGCTGCTTACTCTAAAGCATTATGTATGTTTAGTGAGAATGGGTTTTACCAGGTGGGTTCTGCACACCTTGTTTAACCTATGAGTTGTAGTTAGAATTGAATGGCAAGGTTTATTAGGGAGAAGATTTATAAAATTAAATCTGAAGTCTCTTAACTCACCTGAACAATACAAAAATCCACTGTTATTTCCTTCTATGCCCTGCTGTGATTATATAATGAGCCAATGGTTGCTTTTATGAATAAAAACTAAAAAAAAAATAGAGAAGAAAAGTGACTTCCTCTGTTTTCCATGGATTCTGCACTGCACTTCAGATTTCCAGCCTCAGAACAACCACAGAAACACTGAACAGTTCAAAATCAGAGGTAACCTCTTTCATGTAATTTTCATTTCATAACAAGAATCACGGTTCTTTCAGACTCGTTATCAGTTTCTTCCTTTTACAGCTCACCTTTCTAAAGCGGTTTCTGTCCTGGCCTGGGTGCTACCGAAAATCCATCCTGAGGACACCAGTAATGAACACTGTAGAAAATTACCCCATAGTATAAAAGAAGAAATGTTACAGGCGAGGATGACACAGTTCAAAAGTAGACCAAGAAAGCCATGGTGAACTCCCTTAGAAGCAGGTCCTCTTGTTATTTACAGTCAATTCAATATCAATGGGTCAAAGTCTTTCAGGTGATTCCAAGCAACTTTTCTAAAAGTTTCGAAGAAGAAGATAATCTTCAAGTCCATTTACTGGCATATACAAGTTTCCAGAATGCAATGGAAACCCTGCATAATTGCAGGTGACCAGATTTCTTTTTATGTGAAGCCACACAAATATAACAGCCACCTTGTAGTATAAAGAAGATACCACCCACATGACAAGCTTTAAAAAAAACAAAACAGTGCATCATCAGATTATTTACAAAATTTTACATGCAGGATCATTTTTTCTGCTTGACAACACTTTTGAAATGCTTGTAATTATTGGTGACAAAGGATGAAAAGGAAAATGCCTGATTAGATGACTGGCAATTAGAAAATAGGCTTTTGGTCAGTTAAGCAAATGTGATCTTGAGCCAGTAGTATAAAAATGTGAGGTATCCAAGGGAGAAGGGTTACTTTTTAAAATAAAGTCATGCTTTGAATTCTGTAAGAAGCAGAAGACAGACAATCATTCTTCTAATTCAAATATATTCTAAAAACATAACAGGTGTTACTGCAGTATCAACCTATCGTAATTAGAAGACACAACCTATTCTTACATGAGCCAGATATGGAATGGGGCACCTGGAAACGTGTTTAAAGACTGCTGCAAACACATCAATGATAGAAAACTTCAAATTGAAAGAACTCTTCTAAAACAACCATCAGCCAATTCTCACAACACATCACAAATGATTGATCCCACCAAATATTGTTAATTAAGTTTTATTCTGGAAATGACAGCTACTCTCTATGTAGTCTTAGTGATTGAGGCAAGACATTAAATTGAGGCCTGGTTTCTGCTGCTACCTCTCTGTTACCTCGAAGGGACAGGATGTCTTTCAAAATAGTGAACTGATTCTTTAAATCAGTATACAAGGGAAGTGGAAAATTTACGGGAAGTCAAAGCCAGCTGTAGTTCCTTTTGGTTTCTACTTTAATACCGAATAGAGCATAATAGCACTCATGTAGCAATCGTTACAGAGGAAATTACCCAGCAGAGCAAACAGCAGTCTCATGTTTGTACAGGAGCTGCCTTCTCTTGATACAAGGAAGCGAAAGCACCCTATGAAAAATTTTGAGCTGTGGGTCAAAAACATCAGATGCATAAGTGAACATACAGAAACCCCTAGGAGAGCATGAGAGACTACTGAGATCCTAACTGTCCCCAAAAAAGATACCACCACCAGGGCTGTGATGTATGCTTGTTTAGTTGATTTGAGCCATCAATCAAGAATCAATTAAGTATCACATGAATAACAGCTTGCTATGTTTGCACACTTAAACATCGTAAAATAATTTTAGTGTCTGCCTGTACAGCTCAGTTGATGAGCCCACTGTAAAACAATAGCTTCCCACTGCAACAGACCACTCACTGTCAGCCAGTACCACAATGAGGTTATGCCACTGCTCTTTAATTATACAGAGATCTTCACAGTAAGACACTGAGGAAGAGAGCAGTAAGGGCAGAATGTTCTCCCGAGACACTGTTGAAACCTGAAACAGGTGAGGGCTGTGATATTTCCTGCCTGTTGTTACCACGTTCACCTTTCACCTGCAGGACTTGCTGCTTCCATTTGCCCAAGCTGTGATAAGCTGAAAATGAAATCACTTTGACAGCTACAAAAGGTCAGTTGTAGAAACAACATATTTGTGTTAGCTCAGTATCTTACCTACAGCATCTGCTATTCATTATCATAATATTGCATTCAGAGGAAAAAAAATAATCAGATTCCTCATTTCAGTACAATATGGATGCTACTTTGGAACAAGATGCTAAGCTCAGGAGCTCACATCTTACCACACATTTGAAAATAGATCCTCCTACCACAAGAACAGAATCTGGAAATGACTTGACGAAATTCCTGGGGATGCATGACGCACTGCACCTGAAATAAGGAGGGAAGGTGAGCTGAAGACAACCTTCCCAGTGTTGTCAGCAAGCATCCACAAGTAAACGGAACCTTACAGTCCTCTGAATGCTACAATCAGGCATTAATATACAGCAAACTCTCCGTGGTCAGCAATAGTTCATCAACATTTAACTCACAGAAAATCTGACCTGAACTCTGCAAGACCCTGCACAACACTCATGTCAAGATTTACAGGGTTTCATGAATGTCAATAACCATAATATGTTTAGGTAAAGCCCTACTGACACTTTCAACACAGATGAATGTGCCAAGGAGAGGTAGTCCTCAGGAGAATTACCCAGAACAGATGTGTCAGTAATTGGCTGTTACTTGGAATATTGACTTTTCAGCATAGGGTTTTTCCCCCAACATGGTAACAAATGTAAACTGTTTGGGACATCTCCAAAATAACAATTTTTCATCGAAACCAAATCTCATGCATAGCTACGATGAACTTAAAAGATTTTATTATTATTTTGCACTTATATTTTTGAGAATACTTGCAGACATTTCAGAGATGTGAAATCTCTATAAGATTACACAAATTTTACAACCAAACTGGGAGAGGTTAAATAGCTTCTCAAATGGAAAAGACATCAGCAAGTTAGGTTTGTGGTCCCAAATGTGCAGTTCTCTGAGCAGTGACTGAGGTGTCTTCCTCAAAGAAAAAGGCTTGTACATTAAAAAGGGGGAAAAAAACATGACCTACAGTCCAAAGCCCTTAGAGGACTTTGTGCTACAACTACAGCATATAGCAATAAATCAAACATTTCCAGGTGTACCAGTTTAAAGGATATTCCAATTGCCCTCATTACCACTGACCTTTTACTAACACAGAGTGCTGACCTGAGCTAGCATTGAATAATTCCCTGCCACAGAAAACTGCTGTTGCAAAGCCAAAAGAATATTTGAGATATCTGATATAACAAAAAGATAACCAATGGCACATATATTCTTTCCAGGCATGGTTTATTGAAAACACACCAAATTGTTATCCTACATACCTGGTTTCTAACAAGCATTCTACTTGTCTGCATTATGGAAAGATCCTATAATAATAATACATTCTGTCACGGTAACATTTGTTCCATGAAAAGCATAATCCACCTTTTTTCCTCTCCATACTGGTAAAATCAAACCATTCTAAGTGTTTCAATTTATAGTACAGTGTAAATACAATGCAAAACCCCACCAGTCTAAACTACAGAGAGAATGTTGAGCAGTATTACAGAAAACACATTGTTGATTTATTTTTTTTATTCTCCTACCATGAAAATTTTAAGGCACATGATAGTTACAAACACATTAGCTACTAATTACCAGTAAGCTTCTTAGTCTATTTACTTTGTTTTTCTGAAAAGTAAGAACCAATTGGCAGGCCTTGTAGTATCTGCACTATCTTCCTCCTCATTTGCAAATGGACTTCCTAACATCCTATCCCAATGTAAAACTTAAGACAGAATAAAAGAGATTCATAACAACTTTCCTTTAAATGCACTAGATTAGTTACTGTACCAATAAATCAGAGGATTTCTCTGACAAAGATAAGGAAACACCAGATTTTATGGGCATTAAAACAAAAACGCTGCGAGAAACTATGCCTATGTAAACACCTTCAAAACTGAGAGTGTAATCCAACCCCAACAGCACAAAACTTCTGGCTGAACTTACTGGCACACTATAGTTTACAGTGAGTGGGCAGCTGGACAGAAGGGACTGTAACCAGTCTATAATGAGTTCATGTGGCTTCTGAAGCTTTACTTACTTCAAGTGTTTAAAACGTGCCTCTCTCTCATAAACAACGGAGCCCATAAGCTCAACTTTAAGGCAAGTAACAGAAAGTAACTCACCACCTTCAAGCTAACAAAACTGCTGTAGGAGTGAAAACTGCTTTGCCCGGCACAAACTGTGCATGCTAGAAGTCATCACTGAAAACTATTCCTCTCAGCTGGCAGGAACAACTATTCCTCTCATTGGCTTTAATAAACATGCCACCCCCACTTCCTTAATGCATCACTTAACAAGTCAGTTCCTAGTCCCCAAGTCAATCCCTTTTATAAAGTCTTGGCAAAGGAGACAAGATTTACTTTCCTAATATATACACTTAGAATCTGTGGGTCTGAACGCACAAGTGTAGAACCAGGACACTCAGGTGTTCTGCCCATAAGACTTCTGGCTGCCCAAGCTGCTCCTGGGGGAACACTTCAAGCTGGCAACCATCTTTGATTTGTCAAGTTACACTTACGGCTAAATTACTTTTTAGCTCCAACACAGAAACAAAATGTCCTTACATCTTGCCTTTCAGCTGGATGCTGTACAAACAATCACAGAATCCTTAGAGTTGGAAGCATTGATCACTCATCCACTCAACAGCCCAACTTGATGCTTATCTGGCAGTCTCGACAGGTAATGTTAAGTGGCCCCATCAGTGTTGTTACTTGGTTTTCCTTCTGTTTAACCTCCACAGCCTACTGAATATGCCTGGGCGGTGAGCAAGCCATCTCCCTGGGATGAAAGTTCAGCAGTTATTTGCCATCAGAAATCTTTTCCATCCCCTGTTATCTCAGCCCTTACTGGGCCATCAAATTTCTTCCTCCTCTTTATTAGGAGTCTTGCAACAGCCATCTTCTCCTTCCACAACCACCCCTCCCACTTAAATTTCTGCAGGTATCAATCTCTTCTACCCCAGCTCTTTGCAGACAGACTGCCTCCAGTTTTCACAGTGGAACCAACAGGAAAAGAGGAGGTCACATACCTGAGCCCTAAAAAGCACTGCCTGCCTTTGAGCAGGAGCCTCTAGACCATACTGCAGCATTAGTTACACACACTGCCACTTTCCCTTCTTAACATACTGTCCCTGCTGCCAACACAAACTCAACAATTACTGGTTTATTTACCCACATTCCAGAATTGCTCAACCAGCCCAGACACACTTGCATTAACAAGGAGAGATGGAGGGACAGGTGTGGACACATATCCCACCAATGCATTCCAGAAGTTAGTGTGTGGCCACAGATGAAAAGGACACTGGATAAATCACCAAACAAGTTCAAAGGATCTTGCTAGAGATTTTGGCTTGTGAGCTGATAGTACAAGGCAACAGTCTCATATGCAAGTCATTCTCATCCATTTTCTTTTTGCATCATCTGAACAACAGCTTGGTGAGAAGAAAAAAAAATAAACACAGTAACGTAAATGAT